ATTAATCCTTTAGCAAAGATCAGGACACTCGTTAGTGTGCGACCCCATAGGTTCAATATTAAACCGGTAGTAAATTGATCACATCAATATACTAATTAAGGGTGTCGTCTAGCAACACTCCTTAACGGCCGGATATCATGAAGTATATAATTTACTCTCAAGAACCTGTAGAAGAATAATGTATTAATTCCTTCTGTCCTTATAGCTCTAGGTCACCCTAGGATATGGTTCAAATGTCAAATCCTATAGGCAGCCGACTATGTGTTCATATAAAAAATAATCGACCATTGAATGACCTAAGAAACTCTTTTCTTCTTTCATTCAATCGCCCTGGCCAAGGTCTTAATTTGGTCGGTTATAATTTATGACAACATGGAGCTTAAACTCATTACCAAGAGTTCACAGATTCCATATTGATCAATCACTAATTATACAAGTATTTAATCGTACCCAATATCTTTTCAACTATTGCCCTAGGGCCATAGATGTCTAGTATCAAAGTACAATAAATAACTTATCAATTACTATGATGATATCAGGTCAAAGGAAACTCTTACATCACATTCTTCAAGAGAATATTCTATTGACAGTTTATGGTAATTCTAACCATTAGGAATTATCCAATGAATCGGTTTAATGATCATATCTCTATATGCATCATCTATTTATGTTATTTAGTTAATGAGATCAACTAATCTTTATCCCATAAAGACGATCACATAAATATTGATCTAACCGGATTACTAATGTCCAAATTAATAATCCTACGATCAAGAACAAAATTTAAATTAAATTGTAAGAGACTTTACTCTCATTATCATGATCTCAATCATGATGACAAGTCTCAAAATTTAATCAATGACTTTATTAAATTAATCAAGCAATTAATAATAACTATGATAAACGAATATCAAATGCCATATATTTTTATATCAAATAACATTCACAAAAATATGTTCAAATCATCAACTATGAGATTGGATCTGGGGCATATCTAATATATCAATAACAATCTAAACGTGATGGAAGAACCAATGGATTTGTCATCAAGTCACGAAAACTCACCTTCAAGCCGTCGTAATATGCTTGAACAGCAGGAAATGTTGGTATAATTTTACGAGCTTGCATCATGTCCCATATCAGATTGGCAGTAGTATATCCACCGGTCTGCAAACAGTTAAGAAATTGAATAACTCGACATATGTGATACGGTGATGAGAAAAGAGAAATGTAAGAGAGAGGAAAGGGCTAAAAGTTTTTCTTTTTCTGCTTTCCCACCTTTTCACCCGCAATGACGTGCCATATTTAAGTTCATAACTTCTCAATTTTACCCTTAAAGACATAGTTTTATAAAAATAATTAAGATTATAAGATTATTTTAATGATACATTTGGTATGTTATGTAGTAATATAGAGAGTACTTGTGTGTCAAAAGTCTTACTACCTATTTTCTTTCATTCTCAAATTTCATGCATAATAAAATACAATCATGTAAAATGAAAAGAAGGGAGTAATTATTAATGTTATCGGATGAAACTCAATTCTTTTTGTAGTAGTTTCTTACATTAGCTTTATTGTAAATGTTTGCAAGTAACATTTCTGTTGAACTTCCTTTTCTTCTCACGAAAGTTATTGAACAAATTACTTGCAAATATCGTTCTACTAATTTAAGAGTAATATGAAAAGTAATGGTTGTCTTGACATATAGTTCGAAAAGTATTTCATTACGGCTTTCTAGTTTATATTTGTTACTGCAATTTACAAGAATCTTAAGAAGACGACAGTCAGAATATTCAATAACTGTTTAGAGCAAAGCTGCAATAGAAAAAAGATAATACAAAAAGAAAAAAGCAGAAGAAACGAGAATATTGCCACAGCTTACTTTTTCATTCCCCTCAAATGCTTCTAAAATTTAAAACATGGTTGGCATGACCATTTTCAGTTGTTTCTGCCAGCTTCTAACATTCAGTATTCTTTCTGTTTCTTTTCCCTTCAGTTGGAATTCAGTGTGCTTGGAACAAATGAGGAGCAGAGCAATGGAATGTGCAGGAATACTGTTAGTTTCACTACTACTTGTCCCTTTGAAGAGTGTAGCAACTGAAGCTGATAAGAACATCAGTTGTTCTAATTTGCCGCCATGTAATTTTCCGGCAATATACAATTTCGGGGACTCGAATTCGGACACCGGCGGTATCTCAGCAGCATTTCAACCAATACAAGCACCTTATGGTGAGAGCTTCTTCCACAAACCAGCTGGAAGGCTTTCAGATGGTCGTCTTCTCATTGACTTTATTGGTAATCGACTTCTCTTAGTATGTAAAATAACCCCCCCTACTAGCTGCTACAGAGGCGGAACCAGAATTTGAAGCTTATGATTCTAGTTCTTTTAAGTTACTTGGTTCTAACTTAATAATTTGTGCGTATTCAATGAATTTCTTAAGACAAATATAAGATTTGGACCAGAGCTACTTGGTCCGGCCGAACCCGTAGCCGAAGAGTTGGCTCTGCCCCTGAGCTGCTAGTGATGCTTTTTGATGCAATGACATAAAATGCTATATATTCTACTAGCTAGGCAGTTAGAAGGTGCAAGGAATTTGGTAAGCGTGGATGTTCTTTAAAAGACGCAACACAGATACAAAGAATTTAAATAACCGGCCCCAAGATTAGGGGATAAGCTTCATCGTCAAGAGCGAATAGCTTGGATCAACAGCTCAAATTCCTAAACGACCGCTCAGCGATAAAGGAGGTAGGGATGCAGAGACAAGTAGGAAGTTTGCTTAGGAGCTACCTATGAAAGAGTGCATAATAGCTCACTAATCGAACACTCTTGCGTTGGGATGAACGGCCTAAGTATGTATGCAGAAACTGTGGGAAGTAAAATACATCAGTAAGGGAGCATGCAACCTTAGAGAAGTCTCCGCACGAGGAGTGGTGGACAAACTGGGTACAAGAAATGTCGACTTGAGTAACACAAACATACTAGACCAAGAATCTCTAATTGAATGATTTCTCGATTAATATCATTATTTCATATTGAAACTTACAAAATGAAGGTAGTTAATTGATTATAAATGTTTTTTTATGCAGCTGAGCACATGAGACTACCCTACTTGAGTGTCTATCTAGATTCCATTGGCTCAAATTTCAGGCACGGAGCCAATTTTGCAACAGGAGGATCCACCATTCGTAGGCAAAACCAGACTATATTCCAAAGTGGTATTAGCCCCTTTTCACTGGACGTTCAAATTATGCAGTTCCATCGCTTCGAAGGCAGAACTGAAGAGCTCTATAGACAAGGTAAAAGGAAACTAATGCTAATCAATCATTGACCTGTTACTAGCAAGTTACATCATTTAAGCTAATTTGATACAACTATAACTATGTCTCAGCGGCAGACTTGTCAGAGAAGAACAAATTCCCTCGTCCTCGCGAATTTTCGAAGGCTCTCTACACACTTGACATAGGCCAAACTGACCTAGCTGTTGGTTTCCGCCAGATGAGTAATATACAACTTCGGGCAGCCATACCAGACATAATAAACCAGTTCTCTGCAGCAGTTACGGTATATGCAACTTTATCAATTTTATCTATACACTAATCGTGTAAAACCACATTGTTAGTGTAAATAATATTTACACTGTCAGTGTACATAAGTTAAATTCTTGTAACATAGGTAGTGTTGTAGGCACTAATTATGAAGAAAAATGCTATCTTTGTTTCATAATTTTTGACAGCGTCTGTATCAACAAGGGGCAAGGGCATTTTGGATACATAACACAGGTCCAATTGGCTGCTTGCCAACAGCCACATTATACCTCAGGAATCCAAAACCAGGTGTTCTTGATAATTATGGATGCTTAAAGAGCCAGAATAAGATGGCCTTAGAGTTTAATAGACAGCTGGAAACCAGGATAAGAACACTGAGGGCAGAGCTCGGGCATGCTGCTATAACATATGTAGATGTCTATGCTGCCAAGTATGAATTGATCAGCAATGCCAACAGCCAAGGTATATGTTAGAGCTATATATTTTTTAACGAGACTACTACACTAAGTAATTGCTATTTCTCATCAGCACCGGTACTGGTACTGAATAACTCTGCCTACCAAGACTTATGCAGGTGGGAAGAAATCAACTAGCATCTTTTTGTCCATGTTGGGATTTGAACCCTAATCTGACAGCTCGGCTGACACCCTTGGGGTGCTATTAGTACATATTACATTCCCAATTCATTTCTTTATCTTTTGATCAAGGGCTTTAGGCTTTAAAATTTTGAACAGGTTTCATGGAACCCCACAAAATATGCTGTGGATTGCATGAGGGGAACACGCATGTATGGTGTGGACAGAAAGCAATAGTGAGAGGGGCAGAAGTGTTTGGAGGGGCTTGTGCCAACCCTTCAATTTACATAAGCTGGGATGGAGTACATTACTCTCAAGCTGCTAATCAATGGACTGCAAATCAGATACTAAACGGCAGTTTCTCTGATCCTCCCATTCCCATTACCCATGCTTGTCATAAACGTCTTCATTATTAGGACTGTTGTATTATAATCTGCATCTTAATTAGTGGTTTTTATATCTATGTTTAACTTCTATCAAGTGAAATCACTTGTTCTTTTTAGTTTAAAAAAGAAAAGAACAAGTTTTTTTCCTTTATTTTTCGCATCATTCATAAGAAGAAACTATCAAGTTTCTAATATAAAGCCGATGACAAGATCCCTTGTTAAGGAATTGGGTAACAAGGGACAGACATTCCTCCTTAGAGTCAATTCCAGATAAGCTCAGGGACCTTAATAAACAGAGTACAAATTTACAGCTCAAAATACTAGGATTTTATTTTCATGTCCAACTACTGTACAGCAAGAACACTACAATTAGACAATCGTACAACAATTTTTTTTGGATAAATACATTGTACGACAAAGATAAAAGTTGTTTTTTTGGATAAGTAGCAATGCCACGAACTAAAAGCGAATAGGTCCATAGCTCACCCTTATAAGACTAGATACATACAGCAAGATGGTCCAAATCTAGCAACTCTGGACGTGTTAAAGAGTCATAAATAACTATATTTCACTGGCGATGACCATCTGGAAGAGCAACAGCCTGGTTAAAGGGCACCAAGCGTTGAGGTAGAGACCCATCTTCCTCATCATCATCAAACTCCAATGTGTAACTGCAAAAGGGAAACATAATGCATTAAGCCCATGAAACAGGATCATGATTCATTGGTCAATTTGTTTTTGGTAATGCAACAGTCAATTTCAAGAAAGAAGAAAAAAGAAATATTGAGCTCGATGACTGCAAAACAGATTGGGATAATTGATTCCACTTTCTGTTTAATCAGAAGTCATTGCTCAATTATTGAGTACTAAAGAATCTTAAGTTCATCGCTGATTTCTAAGAAGCCAGGTAAGAGCATCACTTACTCGTCGGTCTTCCTCTGGAAATTGATATAGCATTGGGACCATCACATGCAAATGTAAGTAAAAACCCAATCAATTCCCGAGTAATGATATTCTGAATAGCTCAATAAAGAAAATCCCGATAAATTACGACAAAAGAAAACTAAATAGTGGTACCTTGCGAGCCTGGACTACTGTGGCTTTGTACAGGGCTGTGGTTCCTGGGTAAACTGCCAAAACTTGTTTTCCAGGAGGGAATTCTTGAGTGGTTGCAAGATCACTTATCTTGGGGAAAGGTATAATATGTGACCAGGGTAGCTTGTACTTTCTGTAATTGGCAAAAGAATAGAACCAGTAATTCCGGTAAGAAGGCGAATAATCATTTAGTAAGCAAAAGCTGTAAGCCGCTTAGATATCAAATAACTAGCTGAATAGCAGCCTTTCAAAGTACAAAGAGTGAAAAGCCACAGTTATGCGGTAATAGTTATCAGTCATCAAATTCTTCGGTAGCATTAGGTCTAGACTATATGAGATGTCGCAGAATCTTAATCACAAATACCTACAAGAAGGTGTTGTGGACAGATTCTTAGGAAGCAGTTTCAGCAACTTGCCGGACAGCTAGGAGTAACTTACGGACTTACTTACTAGTGTGTACCAGGCAGCAACTAATCACCAACAAATAGCAGAAAAGGACAAAATCTCATTGATCTCTATCATCCATCAACGTACTAGAAGGGGGAAAATATAAGTGACTAAAATTCCTCAATGAGCTGTTCCTTCGAAGTTGGCAGCTCAAAAAGTGAGGTAAGTTTTTTCTGCGTGAGGTCACACCATGGGACAAAATATACCTTTTTGTTCCTTTTGTAGTTTCCTCTTTCCTCCAATTGATGAATGTGATTTGTTAGTCTCGTGGGCAACTAAAACTGACTTGTATCGAGGTCCCAGAAGGAGTCAGAAAATCTCTTAATCTCCCTCATTCTTCTACCTACTATTCCCCAGTCTCTGTGCTTCTTGTGCATTCTTAGTATAGAAAGCATTCAATAATCCAATGGACAAAAAGGATTTTTTTGACACTTAAGCATCGCATGAATGCAATGCTCCCTACAACGATCAAGGAGGGAATAGATTTAATCATTCCATAGCTGGATAGAAGTAGGAAATCTAATAAATAAAGTGAGTCTTTGTGAAGTTGAGATCAGGTAACGGGATAATGCCTTACATTATGTAAATTTGAGAAGTTCCATCTATAACATAAAGT